TTATTTGGCAAAGATGCAAAAAGATTTTACACCGGCTGTCCTTCCTGTCACAACCCTCCTCATTTATCCAGGTGTGGGACAAGCACTTGAAGTAATAATGTTGTTGGACCCTGTGAAATAATGCTCAACGTCTACACTTCAATGACATTTCATTATTTAACATCCAGTGTGGCGGATGGGAAATCCTCAAAAAAAAAAAAAAAAAAAACCAGAGTTATAAAATGCAAAATCTAATAAATACTTGAATTATAAAAAAAAAAAAAAAAAAAATACAGGGAAAACTACAAAAATGTTGTCATTATACAAATGTGTGAACCTGATTGTAATGCGTCAGCCTGTCTCCTAATGGAAGCTGCTGGAGACTGCCACCACCAAAGGACTTCAGCATGTACAGACCAGGAAAAAAAAAAAAGCCAGCAGTGGTAACTGGACACCTTCATGACAGCAACAAAGCCAACCACAAACCACACATCTTTGTTGGCGACTGGACAAAGACCCCCAATTCATAATTTTAGAACAAAGAGAGCGTCAGGTAATATTTAACAATCCTTTTGTATGTTCACCTACACACAGCCTTTGTAACACCTACACAAAGATGTGTAAATGCACCGTAACTCAGTCCTTATGGTCAAGCGCTGTTTGGTGGCTAAATGGCCCACATGAGGCCACTGAACAGGCTGGAGGTCAGGCATTGTGTAGATCGTGGTACAAGAGTACAACTCAGGTTGTAATACTCCCAGGTGTGGATGTTTTCCTCTAGAAAGCAAGTAAACACTCCAGGGCAAACCCAACTATGACAAATTTATTATAAAATGTTTTAAGAATCACCAGTCTGTCTCTCTGCTGTAAAAAAAAAAATCAACAGAACAAAAACAGCCAGAATGTGTATAAAACATGCATGCTTCCTGTCACACTAAAATGTATGTTCTCCTCTGAGGGCCTGAAAGTCTAACCAAACATCTAACATTTTGTCAGCTGCGGCTCTAAAGGTTGGTGTGGTTGTGGGCGCGTTTGTATGTGTGCAGGACAAGGTGAATGGAATAGTCAGAGAAAAGGGACACTAATGCCCGGCATACACATGCATAGACACAGACACACACTTCATCCAGATTTGACAAGGTTAGTTAATCATCTGTCACGGGGACAGGGGAACGGACAGACTCCCCTCTCCTCTGTCCGTCCTCCATCTCTTCTTCTCTATTTATCCCTCCATCTCCTCCTCTACTCCTTCATCGTCTCTCTGTCCAAGGGCAACTGTCCTTTTCCACCGATATTAACCTTGTAAATCTCACCACATGCTTTTATCTTTTTTTTTTCCCTGTCAGCCTGTCTTTGCTTCTGTCTCTCTCACTCTTTTCCCCCCACTGTCTTGCTGTCCCATACTCTTTACAATGCTATGAGCACAGGCCTTTCCCCTTCCTGCTAGGGACAAAGCTGTGTCTCTATCATTCAGCACTGTAATCGGCCACACATCATTGCCTCCCAGCCATTTAGCCCAAGGTAAATCTAGTGGTCCCTTTTATAAAGAAAGATGGAGAAAATGGATATTGATAGAAATGATGGACAGGTGACACAAAAAGATGGCGATGACAAAGAGTTGCTGTAGGGTCTAAGAGAGCAAACAGCTGAAGTGTAAAAGAGAAAAAAAATAAGGTGATGTGAAAAGAGGTACGGATAGATGGATTTAAGGCTGAAGGAGGATTTCCCTTATATTATCAGTGCAGTCACTGTAGTCAAAGAAGAAAAAAGACATTATGGATGATATTAGTTTGTTAAGAAATCCAGTTTAACCAGCACATATATGCCAAAGAAGAAAATAAAATGTAAAACATAAACACAACACTGTGGTTGGCAGGGGTCTCAAACTCAAGGCCTCGAGGGCCAGTGTCCTGCAGATTTTAGATGTCACCCTGGGTCAACACACCTGATTCAAATGATTAGTTCATTACCAGGCCTCTGGAGAACTTCAGGACATGTTGAGGAGCTAATTTAGCCATTTAAATCAGCTGTGTTGGATCAAGGACACATCTAAAACCTGCAGGACACCGGCCCTCGAGGCCTGGAGTAGAGATGGACCGATCCGATATTACGTATCGGTATCGGTCCGATACTGACCTAAATTACTGGATCGGATATCGGAGAAAAATAAAAAAATGTAATCCGATCCATTAAATATCACGAAAGCACCTCACAAAACTTGCAACACGCCGTAACTCACCTCAGAACGTTAGCACGTCGGAGCAGTATGCATCACGTGATAGAGCGGCTGTGGCATGCGGGACCTGTGGTGGTCTGGATAGCATGTGGAGCTTCGCTAGCAACCCGGCATTTCATCTCCGACAAAGTTATCCCCGAGAGAAGTAAAGCAAGTGTGTAAGTCCATCTCTGAATGTTTGTAAAGCATTCCTGCGTTAAGCTTAACGAGCGACTGCCTCTCGCTCTCCGGCTGCTACTTCAATCATGAAACTGCTTAATGATCAGCTGATCGGCTTTTCTGTCGCGAGTCTCTCTTGTTTGTTTTTGGCCCACTTTGCGCCAGAAAGAGGAAACCAGCGGCTGAACAACAGCAGCACGTTTAAGCTTGATAAGCTGTTGTTACAATTTATTTAATATTACTTTCTACACCAGGATCGTTTTCTACGTAGCTGACGGCTGGTAACTGTGCAGGGGCGGATCTAGCAAAGTTTAGCCAGGGGGGCCGATAGGGCATTAACTGGGAAAAGGGGGCACAAAGACATACTTTTCTTTCTTATTCTCATTTAAAATGTCGAGCTTTTAATAAATAATTATCTGACACCCAAAGTTTTAATTTGATGTAAAATGAATAGAAGTCAATTACTGTATATAGTGACTATTAAGTCTAATATATATACCCTAGTAAGCTATAGTACTTTTTCCTTTGGGAAGGTACCATCTGTGCAGTCTGCAATTTTGTTGAAGAAAGATGTTGAATCTATTTAATATTTCTTGAAAAATAATTGATTTCTGTGCATTTTTTTTCACACTGCATCAAATTAAGGTTGATTACGTCGATTAAGCATCATGAGGTGGAGCGTGAGGGGTGGTTCCCTATTTTTTATTTATTTATTTTTGTTGTTGCTGGGAGTTGGAACCCTATTAGTTAGGTTGCTTAATATTTACGCTAAGTACTCTTTAAAATACCAGAATAGGGAGGATGGTGTAGGTTTGAGTTTATTAGATTGATCAGTATTGCTGAACTATGAAATATTTTTTTTGTATACAGGTATAACAGAATAGCTTTAGTGTAGTTGTTGTTTTAAACTTGAGTATGAACTTGCAGACTTGCAAAATGCAGCAAGATATTTTAAAAAACAGTTTTGTTGATTAAAAAACACTATATCGGATTCATATCGGTATCGGCAGATATCCAAATTTATGATATCGGTATCGGACATAAAAAAGTGGTATCGTGCCATCTCTAGCCTGGAGTTCAAGACCCCTGGCTTAGAGGAAGGTAAGCCCCATGTCGCTCTTTTGGGCTGTGCCAGTAGGAACACACCAGGCCTGGCCCAGGTGGTGACCAGGTAACCCTCTCTGAGGCAGGGTGATTTGTTCTCTATACACCGTGGCTATAGGAGATGTCTTCTTCAAAGCCCACAAAGCTGTCCTCGCTGCCTTCTCCAACTACTTTAGAAGGCATATAACTTTTTAAAGTTATATGCATGTCTGGACTCTCAACAGTGACCAGTTTGACCATAGAAACCCTCACAGAACAAAATTACTCCTAACAGCACAGCGCCCGTGATCACTCAAATCCTGATAATGTGACAAAGAGAAAAAAAAGTAGATAGTTAACAGTTTAGGAAAAAGATTAGACAACTAAATTAAATAGGGAAAGGACATGAGGAATAAAGTGAGGAAGTAAGGAGAGAAGAAGAATGAAAAAAAAGAAAGTTGAATATGACATAAAACATATGGAGGAAATATTAAAGAGGTGTCAAGAAGAGGAAATGTGTGGAGCATGGAGAGAAACACAGCTGGGAAAATGTGACCAGGGGATGTTAAGGATAACACGAGAAAAGCCAAAAGACAGGATACAGAGGAAAATAAAGCCAAAAAAAGAAGAGAAACTGTATTAAAGGCTGTACTGTATGGGGGCGTAGAGAGGCGTGCATCTATCAGCGCCATGCTCCTTGCAAAAAGCCGCCAGGGACAGAGACACCAGTCAACTCAGGAAATAAGAAAATGATTAAGAGCGATTTAATGTCATGCCGCCGCCAAGCCAAAACGCACATCTGTCACTGTGAGACTGATGCTCCTAAACCTCCTTCTCACTTCTCCCTCCCTCACTCACACTCTAGCAGTCACTCACTCATTCATTACACTCTCCTGTCGCTGATGTTTTTTTTTTTTCCCTATCAAGACCCATACCTTCCCAAACCAGACTCCAGAAGCCTTCAAATCACGCTTAACTCCACTAACACATGCTTTCCTGTGGGTTCATCCCACACTCACACGCTCTCCTGTTTTGACTGCTGGATTATGCACTACGATTATTTCCATATGAAGCATTTAAAAAAAAAAGTGAGGAGGAACTGCTGAGAGGCTGCTTCTAATCAAAACATACAGATCTGTGTGTGTTCATCTTCACTCTGAAGGTTTGAAAGAAAGAAAAAATAATAAAGGAAAAGCACACACTGCATTCCTCTTCGTACTACATACATTTCAGGTTTCATCCGGTGTCCTGCTGGTGACCACAAGCTCTAAAGGAACCAAAGCTGGGAATCATGCCTTCTAAATACTGCCCCCACCAGGTTGTTTGTGGCTATTACAATGCTGTAAACTGCTGGTTACAAGTAATATTTTTACACGTCTGAAAGCTGTTAAAATAGGGAATGTCTGCCAAAATGTTTCTGCTGCGTTTAAATGAACTTATTTCACAGACACACACAGAACAGGATGTTTCTGAAGAGCACTGACAAGGTTTGCTGATGCTCATCAAAATTAAAGTTATTAACCTCCGTGACCTTTGCACTTACCATTACACTTCCCTCCATTGGTGGGGTCGCCATAGTAACCAGGCATGCAGCTCTGGCAGTGCGTCCCTGCTGTCAGGTTTCCGCAGTGTTCGCATACGCTGCCGTTCACACACCTGCTGTGACCGTTACATTGGCATGCTGGAAGAGAACATTCATAGGAACATAAGAAAGCATGTGCAGTAGTACACATCATCTTCACTTCACCATAAGTAGTTTTAATGCAAGAACACTACAATAAATACCTGCAAAGGTTATCATTTTATTTGTGCTGAACGTCGCATTGAAAGGAGTTTCTAATATTGTTTCTGCTTCCAGCATACACATTGCTCACTATCAGAATCACTTGGCAATCGCATACTTATAGATGAAGTGGGTAACTATTGAAAATGCACATTTCCTACTTCAGTTCTAGCAGCAGATAAAACACCGCAGCCAGAAGAGGCTACACTATTCATATTAAGTGGGATACTCAATTACAGGGTATGAAAGGTGAGTCCACAAAGCTTAACCTTAGTGTCATCTGGTCCAGTCTGGTCTCGTGGTTCACTCACCGGGGCACTGGATAAAAGCCCAGTTGTAGCCTCTGTCTGATGAACAGAGACCCTGATCCACCACAGTGTCCCTGTCTCGCAGTTTATCCCGGTCTCTGGGCCCTGCCTTTGCGGTCACAGGCTTTAGAGGGCCTCTGTAGGAGCCCTCCATGCAAACGCCCCTACCGGTGTTACTGGGATCACCACACCAACCACACTCCACCCTCTCCAGACACTCGGCACACGTCCTCAGACCTGAACAGTTTTGGGCTGACAGATAAGGGATGTAAAAAGAAAGAAATCAAATATAAACTTGCATACAAGCATGCAAACTTTACAGTCACGGAAAATAATTTTGCTTGTGTAGTCAGGATGACAATGCAATTCAGTCCAATTCAGTTTTATTTCTATAGCACCAAATCATAACAACAGTTACCTTAAGCTGCTTACTGCCCAAGGAAAATAAGTAATGTTACTCCATGATATTTCAGTCTCTCTGGCAAGGTTTTAAAAGGTCACAACATCAGTGTATCTGGATATGTTCATTTGAATATGAACATTCAACTAATGGGTCACTCAATTTACATTTGATAGTAAAATATTGACAAATTTTACCAATTATACTTTAGAGGCACAAAAACCAGTTGTGTTCCCAACATATTAGTTAGTGCAGCATTTCAAACTCAAAACCTTTTAAATATGTAGAACTACTATCATATACTTCAGCACCAGTCTTATCTGTGTGTGAGAGAGATGTTCAACACACATTTGGTTTGAAACCTTAAAAGCTGATTTTAACCATATTCTGTCTTTTACACTTACAATTCTTCCCAACAGCTTGAATAAAAGCATAAACACCATAAAAGCCTTCTGGGATGTAATCTACACCGTCTAATATTGTTTGCATCTTTTGCTTTCACCTTTTCTTTGACCCTCAACATTTAGAAATAAATGGGCTTTTCTTTGCCACGCCATTCCACATGTTCAGAGGAGCATTTGTATTCATAAAGTGGACGTGACATTCAAAAAACACTTTACTAGTGGGATTTAAAAATGGCATTATGTTTTTAAGGTATGGCATTTAATAGTTGTACAAGAAAACTGAAAATCTCCATACCGAAGCCTTTTTAGTTCAGCAAACGCTGCAGAGAGCAGGCAATCGGTGACGAACATTAGATTTTTTGTCTTCTAGAGTCTCTGGCCTTCCAAAGTTAACTCTACAGCTTGTTTTTGAATCTCATTCTTGTTTTGCTCTTGTTCTCCAGTTCAGCTCATCTTCTTGTCATGATGAATTTTAGTCTACAAAGCCAGGGTGGAAGTACACACTGACAAAGAGACTTTGTGGGTATCTTGCCGTGTACACAAGAAACCAAAAGGTTGAGAGGAGGTATGCGAGGTGTTGTTTCTTATAGCCCAGTGAGATGATTCGAATGCGTAACATTTGCATTTTCACCAGAACTTCTTTCTCTTTTGAACATGAGGCATTTTCATAAGCCACAGATGTTCTAGCCGAACCAGTATCTGTTTCCTTCTCTATGCGTTCCTGCTTGAAATACACTCCTTGTCCTCTGTGTGTTTGCAAGCTACGCCGTTGCATTATTCAGCTTCAGCAATGCTGATTCATTTGTTCTCTCTCCCACTTTGTAATTACCAACTTCTGCTCCCCCTTTTTCAGATTTGCTCTTTATCTCCTCTCTGCCACAGTCCTATCCTTCTTTCTCAGTTTCTATTCACTAAGGCATCTCCCCATCTCGTGCTCATTCACTGCTGCTTTTTCCACCATTATACCCTCTTTTACATATTCTGTCATTTTGATTTAATTTGATTTTTTCCATTTATTCGTCTAAAACCCTTTTAGGCACAAATGAAATCACAAGCGACGGAACCGCTCTACTTTTCCTTCATCCTCTCTTTTTTGTCCGCTCTCCCACTGCGCTCTTTTCCCTTTTTACTTTCACCTCCCCTTAGTTCATCTCTTTTTGCCCTTCTCTTCTTACAGCTCACTTGATCTTTCACTAAAGTCAGTAGTTCAAAGAAAGGCGGTTCAACAGAATATCCCTAATCCACCGCATGGTAGGGTTTCCGCTGACAGAAAAGCACACATTTACATACCCAAGAGCAGACTTTAATATCCAATAAATATACCAGGCCTGTTTACCATTTAAAAATATCAGTCCATTGCATTTATGTTGGCAGATTTTGGTACCAACTCCAATTCTCTTCTGCCAGATCTTTTTATTTATTCATTTTTCATGAAAAGAGAATTCTTTGATTTAATAGATCCAATCTGTTCTCATTCTGTGACAGCTGTTGTTTGTCCCTCCAGGTCAGGTCAGACTCTCAGTGCAGGGCCACAATTTTTGCTTCAGTCTTAGTAATGCTCAATACATAGTCCCTGGACAATGACACATTTTTTTAATATACTTGAGTGCAAACCAGTCTGACATTACTCTTTGCTCCATCCATCCATCTTCTTCCACTTATCCGGGCCCGGGTCATGGGGACAGCAGCGAAGCCCAGATCTCCCTCTCCCCGGCCACTTCCTCCAGCTTGTCCAGGGTAACACTGAGCCATTCCCAGGCCATCCAAGAGATGTCATCTCTCCAGTGTGTCCTCGGCCTACTCCTGGTTCTTCTCCCAGTAGGCACGTCAGAATAAGATTCCAGATCCAAGCAGACTCCCTAGGATATCTCCCAAGATGGTCTGGGCATCTGACTAGGATGCCTATTACTCAGATGTCCAAACGACTGGCTCCTTTTGATGTGGAGGAGCGGCTCTACTCTGAGCCCCTCTCAAATAACTGAATTACTTAGTTTAACTCTAAGGGCAATGCCAGCCACCCTTTGGAGAAACCTCACCCCCCCCTTGTATCAGTGATCTCATTCTTTATACCTTTATATAGTAATGATATGTCATTACTATATATCATCACTACATATCGGTCTTTACCAAGTAATGAATGCTACACAATCTAGCATTGAGACACATGAACAAAACATTTCCTTAAAAACGTCAAAATTTTTAAGATTTTCTTTTCTACAGCTTAATTGGCTCTCGATTTCTTGAACCACACTGAGAAGGAAGCAACACTATTTATCTGTCAGTGTAAGTCACAGCTGAGCTTGTGCCTATCTCCTCTTCAATTTATATCCAATCTAAACCAGTTCTGGACCATAAGACAGACAAAATGTTTACTCAACAACCAATTAAATTTCCCCCAGCTTTGTTTTTTTCTCCAAAAAGTGAATTGTATAGTTGTGTGTCTGCAGATACTTGTTTCAATGGTTTGCATGGTTTGAAAGTTACAGGATTTAGACTTGAGATGTAATTTTAGTGTAAGACAATTTCTTCACGACTAAAGGCTGTTTTCAGCAAAATATTAATGTAAGATTTGACTAAAATTTTGAACTGCAATTCATTTGCAAAATGTGTCAAAATTAGTGAGAGAAAATGCACCAAATATTTCAGGCATCAGTCTGAACGCCACAAATGTGATAAAACGGGCTCAATGGGCACTAAGTGGCACAAGTAAGAGCAATTAATTCAAAAGTGAGAGAATGTAGAAGAAAACAAATACTAGCATGGACGGAAGATACAGAGATCCTTAGATGTTCACTTACATAACAGTAGTTTGCATGGATAATTTAATTTACCTGCTATGTTCTCGTTGCCTGAGCCTTTTCTATTTTTAATAGCATTTCCAATTATCTGGCTTCATCTGTGTTCCACATGGAAAGAATTTAAAGAGGTTATTGCCTCCTGAAGTCTTGGGATTCAGAGCAGATGAAGGAGAGAGAGGAAAAATAGAGTGCCTACAGGGTTTACAAGGCCTTAGTTTTACTTAACAGCACCAAAGATGTAGCTGTACCATGTGCCATTGCATGACATTAGCTCCAGGTTATTTCTAGAGAAAATATTCTCTTGGATGGTGCCTTCATGAGAGTGGGAAAAAGAAAAAAAAAAAAGAAAACAACAGCAACATGAGATCTAATCATGATTCACTGATGAAACTGTTGACCACTGGCTATTTTTTTCCTTTTTTCCTTCTTGAATATTGTTAAGATTAAAATAAGAAAATAATAACTTACATACTTCAAATGGCTTAAAATACTTTCTCTAATATCTTGCAAAAGTTGTTGTTTTCTCTCACTTAACCAATCTCAACGAGTAAACAATGATGGACAATGGTGATTTAATTTTAATGTATGGCACTTCATAGTTATTAAAATATGAATTATGGCTGGTAAATGCAATGCAAAGATGCTGTTACAGTCACAATTGAACAAATCATTTTAAAAAGGTTATTGTGCTTTCCTGTATTTTTCTCACAGTACATATACACAATGGTGGATTTTCATAATAAAATGGACTTTCACATAACAAGGTCAGCATATTATTATTATTATTATTATTATGTTAAAGTAATCACTGATCCACAAGCTCAGTTCACATTTTTCCTCTATTCTTGGATCTGTACAACCTGCTATAGAGGTGTAGGGATGGGAAATAATACGATTTTAGAGATTCTGATTCCATTATCAATATCACTTATCAATTTCTTATTGGGTTTTCATTAGCTCTGCTTCGAGATTCAACACCATCACCAAGCAGCATATTAAAGACATTACCTTCCTGTAGATTAATTGCATGCTGTGTGGTCAAATGTTTGTGTATCTTGGAATTATTTACCTTCTTTGTTGTGATCAGTTTTTTTCAAAAACAAAATAATGCTTTACACATATTACAAAGAATACTTTTCTTAAATTTAAAAGTAATTACTCCCAGGAAAAAAGCATTTTCTATAACACTTATAACTTTATTTTTGCATTTCTCCATAAAATGATGTGAGAATGAAGAAATCACTTGGATGAGTGATGGAAAATTTTCCCCCACTGAAAACGTTACGTCCAGATGAACAGAACTATGTTTTTGGGATTTCCAGACCTGGATGAGTTCAGGGTCTGACTGCTGGGCTGGGGTCGGGATTCACTCAGTTTAACTCTGAGCTTTTGGCTAATTTATTGTTAGCATAAACTAGCAAAGAGCCAAAATTGTGTTAGCAGCATAATATTGTTGATTCTGTCCTGGAGTTTGCACTTAAAAAGTAATGAAAAGTAATGCCCATATCCACACTGCAGACTGTACCACTACTTTCCTTCTCCAGCACAACAAATGAAAGCAGCAGGTTGTAGCCTATGAGTTCCCTACAGCTTTCCGGCTTTGGTCTTCAACCCGTCGATAGCCAGCTTCACGAACTACATTCAGAACAC